ATCTGATTAAATGGTTCGAACTGCAGGATGGGCGAAAGGTTCATGTGATTGAAAGAGATTTGACAGAGCCTGACCGAATTGTTGGTGAACTACTGCAACCAGGCGGTTACCTCAAGTTGATTGAGTTAGGGCTAGAAGGTAAGAATTCAAATTTTCATATGCATAATCATCCTCCTTTTTTTGTATAAATAAACCAATGAAATTTTCAACCCAGAAAATATTAGGACTTCTTGGAGTTAGTTACTTCTTTGGAACTTTTGAATTTGAAGTGCACAAAATTTCAACTGTATTCCTCTCTGATCACAGACTGTGTGGAAAACATTGACGCACAAAAAGTGTTTGGATATGCTCTCTTCAAGGATGGGAAGAACACCCAGCTTTCTTATCCATTGGAGAAGTTTCATTCAGATGTTTCTGGTAGGAGCTTTCATAATGGACGTTTCATACAAAGAATGAGGGAAAAAGCTGCTTCTCTTCCCAAGTATATTTCCTATCTTCTAATTCAAAATCAGATGATTGTTTTCTTTACAGTTCTATTTTTCATTGTTGTGACCTGCAGATGTGTAGAACTATCTTCCTTTGTGTGTTACCATCATTAATGTTTACCTAGAAGTTAGGTTGACTGTGTCGTTGTTTATTTGCATGCTTACAATGTGCCACTAGGAATGGTGGCCACTAAATTTTTTTTAACTGAACAAATTCTGCAACACAACTTTTGTTGTCTATCGAGCAGTGTTCGATTAGAGGAAGGAGCGGTGACATCATTGCTTGAAGAGGAGGGAACCATTGTGGGGGTGCAGTATAAGGGCAAATCTGGTGACGTTTGGAAAGCCTATGCACCGTTGACTATTGTATGTGATGGCTGTTTTTCAAACTTGAGACGATCACTTTGCAGCCCCAAGGTAAAAATGCAACAACTTAGCATCCCAGTTATTGTTGAATTCAAAATTTGTCTTTCAACTCCAAAAATATTGTCAATTATGTTAACATTAGCACTTAAATTTGGGAAAATTACTTTTTTGCATATGGGACAATTACTTTAAGCACTTGTGGCTGGCAGATCTTGGGGGAGGGTATGGAGGAAAGGAAAGCGAATACGTTGTGTGTGCATGGTTTGGGGAGGAGGAAAGTGGAGGAGCTGAAAAATCGTCCAAACTCCTCATAACTCACTTTTATGTTTCCAAAACTAATTCCTCACCTAACATCTCCATTGATTCAAACCATGACCAAATTCTAAACCAACATTTTCACTTTTCTTCTCTCCCCTTTCCTCTTTCTAACAGACTAGGGTAAAAGCTCCCGAAATGTGCTTTATAAAGAACTATTCAAGGGATAATGGAGTGACAATTGTGATATTGTTCTATTTTAAGTGGCATTATCTACTCCTTATGTTTATCATTATCATTATTGTTGCTTTATCGTTATATTCATCATCATCATCCTTAATTGCAGTCCTCTTGTTGCTGACTCCAAAAATCACTTTTTGTTTTGTAGGTGGATGTGCCTTCTTGTTTTGTTGGGTTGATCTTGGAGAACTGTCAACTTCCATATGAGAACCATGGACATGTTATTCTTGGAGATCCATCACCTATCTTGTTTTATCCCATTAGCAGTACTGAGATCCGCTGTCTTGTGGATGTTCCCGGTCAAAAGGTGCCATCCATTTCAAACGGCGAAATGGCCAACTATTTGAAGACTGTTGTCGCTCCTCAGGTAAGTGTCTAAAATTGTTATAACTACAACAACAACAACATTACCCCAGTGCCTCAATGGCTCCTGCTCATTGCGGGGTAAGGGGGTACGCATTTTGACCCTATGTTTAAAACATAGAGCGGCTGTTTCCAGAAAATTGTTATAACTAATGGTCCAAAATTGAACTTGTATTCTAATCCTGGTTTCACTCAGGTTCCCGCCGCGCTCTACGATGCATTTATTGCTGCTGTAGATAAGGGCAATATACGAACGATGCAGAACAAAAGCATGCCCGCTGCTCCTCACCCTACTCCTGGGGCATTACTAATGGGCGATGCTTTCAACATGCGCCATCCCCTGACTGGTGGGGGAATGACCGTTGCACTGTCTGATATAGTCGTACTACGTAACCTTCTCAAACCTTTGCATGATCTCCATGATGCACCTTCCCTCTCCAAGTATTTGGAATCCTTTTACACCCTGCGTAAGGTAAAGCATTACATATTCTTGATATTGTTACCATTCTCCATCTGATTCTTCTGGTCTAGTATTGCATATGGGTGATCTTTGAACTGCCTATCTTGAGAATCGTTTCTGATTGAGCATGGCCCAAAATTCAACATTTGTTTGCAGCCTGTGGCGTCCACCATAAACACGCTTGCAGGTGCACTCTATAAAGTGTTCTGCGCCTCACCTGATCAAGCAAGAAAAGAGATGCGTCAGGCATGCTTTGACTATCTAAGCCTTGGTGGGGTTTTCTCGAATGGTCCAGTGGCTCTGCTCTCTGGTTTGAACCCTAGACCGTTGAGTCTGGTCTGCCATTTCTTTGCGGTTGCAATTTATGGGGTTGGGCGCTTGCTGCTCCCTTTCCCCTCGCCCAAACGCATGTGGATTGGAGCAAGATTGATCTCAGGTGCATCTGGGATCATCTTCCCTATCATTAAGGCAGAAGGGGTGAGACAGATGTTCTTCCCAGCAACGGTTCCGGCTTATTATAGAGCTCCTCCTCCTTCTGAATGAGGTGCCGTTTGCAGGGTTTGGGAGAAAACACGGATCCGATCGTTATATGTTGTATCATTGTCACACATTTTCCTTGTTTATGTTTTTCTTCCCCTTCTTACACTACAATATGATGTGTTTGTTATAAACTTGGAACATTCATTCTTTGTGCAGCAATTGTATTCTCTTCAAAAAAAGGTTGCCAAATGACCTCCATTCCTTGTTTTATACTCCGTAATGAAAAGAATAAAGTGTGGTTATTTTAGGATGGGCAAAAAGGCATACTCCATACTTTGCAAAAGACGGTAAACTTTGGTTCCAAAAGTTGTGGTTACTCTTTCATTTCTTTTTCTGCCTAACCTTTTGTTTTGTCGCATAGAAGGAAGAGTTGCGCCTATTCGAATATCTTGCAAATATTTTATGAGCCAGTTGTCCAAAATATATGAAAATTTCACGCATGTATCATGTTTGCATGTGTATAATGCTTTATCTCAGTGCAAGAATATTTATTACTTCCTTTGTTCCAAATTATAATGCATGTTCACTATTCACAGGGTCAAACTTCATTCAATTTCTTTTACTATTTCTATTAGCAATTTGATAAAATAAAGTACTATTGTCATTACCAATTTTATAGATTTTTTGATGTAGTATTTTAATATTTAATTTTTACTTTTTAACTATATACCATTTGTCATATAAAATGATTTGAAAATAATTTCAGTCAAACATCATAAACCAAAACATGCGTTATAAAATGGGACGGAGAGAGTAGGTTTTCTAAGTACTTTTTAAAATTAAATCAGATAAACTTTGATTATTAATAAATTTATATTTTAAAAATAACTAAGTAGGACTAAAACATGTTCTATTAACATCTCACATTGATACGAGTAGTACATTTTGGAGCGTCAATAGTAAAAAATGGAGCGTCAATAGTCATTTCCCCAAAATATGACTTTTAATGTTTTTTTAAAAAACTTCAAAATAGGAGCAAATCATGACTTTTATCCCCCAAAATAGAAATAGCATGTTTTCATCTTCAAAATAAGACTATTTCACTGTAATAATGTGACACTATATATTTACATTTTACGATATTTTTTGATATTATATGTTGACATTGTAAATCCCATTTTGAAGATAAAAAGCTAAAGGTCATATTTTGTCTTTGGGCGATGCTAAATCCATTCCTTATTTTGCTAAATCCATTCTATTTATAATGAATGGACAATTTTATCTTGAAAAATGCTAGGGGTACACCAAATGTGTACCCCATTTGTCCCCCACCCTTTCCTCCACCACATAAATGGGCAAAAAACTTAAAAATAAATAAATAATTAAAAATGAAATTAAAATATGTGGTAGAGAAGGGAGTGATGGACAAACAGGGTACACTTTTGGTGTACCCCTAGCGTTGCTCTTTTATCTTTTACTCCATTCTTCCTCTTTTCTAAACATTAAGAAGAAATTTGTCCATATTATATAAATAGGAGTGATTATAGCCAAATAAGGAGTGGATATTGCAACAACCTTTGTCTCTTTTACTATGTTTTTCTCTTATTTCGATCATGTTTTCCATGTTTTTGTTTCAAGATAATATTTTTAATTCCAAATATGGTTAAACATAATTCAAAAAATACGGAAATATAAATACACAATACCAGATTGCAAGATATTTAAAGTATTATCACTTCTACTTATGAGATAAAACATAGAATATTTGTTCATGGAAAAATAATTTTATTCAATTTATCTTATAATCTATTTTTAAAAATTATACGTATTATGTTGCATTGATGTGTTATACATTTATATTCTATCTGTCCCTAAAAGATTTACACTCTTCACTATTTAAAAATCACAAAAACTTTTATTGGTTTGTGTATTTTCATTGATTATTTGATAAAATAAAATATTCATATCATCTCTTATTTTATAAAACCTCTAATGTACTTTTTAAATATGTAATTTTTTTTCTATATCAATCTTTAAAAAAAAAATTTTGAAAAAACTTAATATTTTACTTCTTTTTATGTAAAGTGTAAATAATTTGTAGGCTATATTTTTCTTAATAATTTTTTAGAGTTTGTTTAATTACTACTCCCTAATCCCTACATTGGAAGAAATAGTTGAAATACATTTTGTTTTTCAAATGCCAAGATTAGTCCAACCAACTTAACCGGTAGAGTTTCCATTATTAAACTGCCTACTATCCCGACGCGCCCATCTCCTCTCGCACTTCTTCTTCTTCTTCTTCTTCATATCTCGTTACAATTTCATTGAAATCCCAAACCCAAATTTGGTTCCACAAAATCCCATCGTTTAGGGTTTCTTTCATCCACCATCCGCCTCTAACAATTTGAAAACTTTCGATTTTTTTCTGTTCTCTTTCCATTTTACCCCGTCTTTCATCTTCCCCGTCCCGATCAACCCGACATTCCTTCCAGGGGACATCAATGCGCCCGTTGAATGTGGGTAAAAATCATTTCCCCCCTCTCCTTCAATTCGTTTCTCGTTTTAGAAATTAGCATTCCATTGTTTCTTATGCTTTCATGATTTCAATTCGTTACTTTTTTTGTTTGTTTGTTTTTGCGGGCAGTCCAGTTTAGATTTCTTAGTTTGTGGAGTAATGGATGGTCTTATCTTGCAGAAGAAACAATGTAGGCGTGCTACAAGATTTGTTGTTATTGCTTCACAATAATTTAATGCCCAGTAATAATAAGGTGTGATTATAAGATAACTGCAATTATTATACACTTATGTCCATATTTTTATGTTTTATTATAATATTAGTTTACTATATTTTATTTTGCAGGTTTTAGACTTGGAGACTTAATCTTGGCAAGGGTTTGCCCTCAAAGCTGATTTGGAGGCTTCAAGCCTTTAAATGGATGATTTTGCAAATGAGTTTCCATAGGAATACAAAGCGTATTACTATTTTGAGTAGAGATGATTTTATCTGCACTGTTGACTTCTGCTGGTATAAACACAGCAGTCTGTGTGGCTTGTTTCTCTCTGTATTCAGTTCTAAGGAAGCAACCGAGCCTCCTCAATGTATACTTTGGGCAGAAGCTGTCTCATGTCCCACTAAAATGCAATGATCCCTTCTGTTTTGAGCGCTTTGTTCCTTCTCCTAGTTGGATTCTGAAGGCGTGGGAGACATCTGATGAAGAAATGAATGCCGTTGGAGGCTTAGATGCTCTGGTCTTTGATCGTACAATGGTTTTCAGGTTATTTCACTTCGTTTTTAAGGCCAATGTACCATTCTTTTCCCTTGTGATGACTAAGAAAAGTTTTTCCTCAAGTCCTTAGTTTTGAAGACAGGTTGATTGTTAGACTTGAAGTTAAGGGTTATTTGGCTTGAATCGTTGAATCTTTTGTATTTTCTTTAAAGAAAAGCTTATGGTAACATCCGTTGCAGTCAAATGAGTAGTTCAAAGCTACTTATTCTGGTTGATTTTATCATTCCCTTTCAAGTAGAATAAGAAAAAGTTTGCTACCAAATGGAGCTTAAAAGACAATACTTTGCAAATTTGGAGATTTGCTTTGATGTGCGCTTATCTCAGAACTTATATTTAACTGAACCTTATAATACAGTATCCGCATATTCTCCATTGCTGCTATAGTTTGCCTTTTCCTGGTGCTGCCACTAAACTATTTCGGCCAGGAAGTAAAGCACACGCTGACTCCTGGGGAGTCATTGGAGATTTTCACCATTGAAAATGTCAAGGAAGGGTCTAAGTGGTATGAAATATATATATTCCCTTGTTCTCCATCCTTTCATGTTGTAATTACATAAATGTACTTATTTTGGTTTTGTTTTATCTCCACTTGTTACTTGCCAGGCTTTGGGCACATTGCCTTGCATTGTACATCATCACCTGCTCAACCTGCACTCTTCTTTACTTCGTAAGCGCTATCTGTGAATTACAGAACACCGAAGCTTTCTTGAATAATGTGTTTTGTAGTCATCATTTTTGATGGTGGCATGCTTTTTTCTTAGGAATACAAGTACATCACGAGTATGAGGTTGGCATACATTAGATCATCTATTTCCAACCCAAGTTATTTCACTGTTCTTGTCCGCGGGGTCCCATGGTCTGAAGAAGAAGCATACAGTGAGATGGTGGCAAAATTCTTCACGAATTATTATGCATCAAGTTATTTGTCTCATCAAATTGTATACCGCTCTGGTGTTGTTCAGAAACTGGTGGTCAGTAGCATCTGATAGACCTGTCGTTTCTTGTGAGTTCTTCTTGATAATTAGTTAATGGTTGATTCTTTGCATAAACAGACTGATGCAGAAAAAGTGTACAGGATGCTAAAACCTGGACAGAATGGGTCGAGTTTATTGAGATGTGGAATCTGTGGAGGAAAGTCGGCATCCTTCAAGATTCTCTCCTCTGATACTGAAGTTGATAAAGAAAGAAGGGATTTAAATGGCCCCAACTTGAGAGATCAGGTCTATCTATCTTGAACCTTGGCACTATTGATTAGCTGTACTCTTGGGGATGGAAACCTTTTACCTGAACAGCTTTATGCATTGAAATAAAGTTAGATGAACATTAAATTTAATCCAACGTTTTCTTCATTTTATGAAGTGGGACTTTGGTTTACAATACTGGCTTATAATGTTGTGTTGGGAAAAGTGTGGAAATGAGATAATGTTAATTCTTATTTGTAGGAATGTGCAGCTGCCTTAGTGTTTTTTAGGACAAGGTATGCTGCATTGGTTGCTTCACAGGGCATTAAATCTCCAAATCCAATGTTATGGGTGACAGATCTTGCTCCAGAACCAAGAGACATGTACTGGTCAAACATTTGCGTACCCTATAGGCTTCTATGGATCCGCAAAATAATTATTCTCATGGCTTCCATATTTTTCGTGGCCTTCTTCCTTGTCCCGGTTTCTCTAACCCAAGGCCTCGTCCACCTTGACAAGCTCCAACACACATTTCCCTTTCTCAGAGGAGCACTGAAGAGGAAGTTCATCATTCAGCTTGTGACAGGATACCTTCCAAGTGTTGTGCTGATACTGTTTTCTTACATGGTCCCACCCATAATGATGTTGTTCTCCACAATGGAGGGCTCCATCTCCCGCAGCGGGAGGAAGAAGAGTGCCTGCATCAAGATCTTGTACTTTATGGTTTGGAATGTTTTCTTTGCACAGACAATTTCTGGGTCAGTCATTGATGGGTGGAGTGCAATTGACCAATTGGGTAAAAACCTTAAAGACTTTCCTAACCTCCTGGCCAGGGCAGTGCCGTCAACAGCTACTTTCTTTATAACGTATGTCTTGACATCCGGGTGGGCGAGTTTGTTCTGTGAGCTCATGCAACCGTTTGGGATTCTTTGTAACCTTTTCTATAGGTTTGTTTTATGGAACAAAGACGAGTCGACTTATGGGACGATGACATTCCCTTATCACACCGAATTCCCTAGGGTCCTCCTCCTCAGCCTCCTCGGATACACTTGTTCCATTCTTGCCCCTCTCATTTTGCCTCCGTTGCTCGTTTACTTCTTTCTTGCTTACATTGTATACCGCAATCAGGTATGTCAATAAAATGCATTTTGTCCCCTAACCTAACCATGTAGCTAGATTGTAAAACTAGTGTGATCCCATTTTTCTAAGTTTCAAAAACAGAGAATTTGCATTTCTTATGATTAAAAATCAGAAAATTTGCATTTTAAAAACAACAGAACTATGGAATTTTCAAATTTAATAAAGTGTCACCTTTTCATCCGTTCACAAGATTGACGCGTTGAACTATTCCCATTGTGACACGGCATTTGAAAATATATATATATGTGTGTGTATGGGATTTTCAGATTCTGAATGTATACGTCACGAAGTATCAGACCGGGGGACGCTATTGGATCATTGTGCACAAGGCAACAATGTTCTCGGTGGTGCTGACGCAGATAATAGCATTGGGAGTGTTTGGGCTGAAAAAATCAACGGTGGCAACAGGCTTCACCATTCCACTGATAATCTGCACACTGCTGTTCAATGAGTATTGCAGGCAGAGGTTTCACCCAGTGTTCAGGAATAACCCTGCGCAGGTGCTTGTTGAAATGGACAGGATGGATGAACAGAACGGGAGGATGAAGGAAATATATCAGAAGGTGACTTCCGCTTACTGTCAGTTCAGAAGAACTTCGCTCACGCTGGGTAACCCCGTTCCTCTGAACCCCAATGAGAAAAACATGCTTCAAGAACTAGAAGACGACGTGAATCCAGGTTCTTAACTTACTTATCTAAGCTTCATTTTCCTCTTTGCTACTAGGTTTGATCTTTTTTTTAAATTACTGTTTTCTTTAATTTGTTTTTATCGTAGCTGCACTGAGACCAGATCAACTTCCGGGATCTTGGAACGAGCACACACAGTTAGAGATTGAAGAAGAGTTGCCAAACAAGTAGTATATACTGTATGTATTAATTTGGTTCATATATGAATAGGAGAAGAACAGATCAAATAGAACTGCGCTGCAAAATGTACAGAGTGAGAAATCAAGGTTCACTACTTCACTTGAGCACTATGTGTACATAATTACAAATGTTACGAGTATATATCCATACGATACATACGTATATCATCTCTGGTTTATGTTATCTTCTGGTATGGATCATCCCACACCCCAACATATTATGAACTTCAGAACTTACCTATAAAAATTGATGTCGGAGAACTTATATCAAATTTAGTAATTTTGCAATACTAACTTACATACATTGTCCAAACAATGTATGTTTTGATCAGATCCTTACAACCCAGCCATTCTTGTCTGCTATGGCACCTCTTTGGATATCAAACAGTGTTGAGCCTAGTTTCTTGCCCACAGTTTCCTCTCCTAATTTATACTCCATCCTGTTTATACATATAAATTTTAAAACACAAATATGATGTAAATTAATGTTTTTTATGTTTGTTTTGAAATAAATCGAAGGAAAGAACTCCATATATACCTTTTACCCTTATAAGTAATGCTTCCGACAGGAGCAACACCCACTGCAGTTCCAGTGCAGAACACTTCATCGGCGCCGCTCAACTCCTCAACATCCACCTCCCGTTCTTCAACCTCGTGCCCTAAATCCCTTGCGATTTCTATAATACTTCTCCTAGTGATCCCCGGGAGGATTGTCCCATTCGTGGCGGGAGTCGAAACAACATTCCCCTATAAATACAATGCCCATTGGCTTTACTTTAGAAAATATTCGACATATGGATGCAGTAATTAATACTGTACGTACATATGTACCTTGACAATGAAGATGTTGCACGAAGAAACCTCCTCAACATACCGCTTATGGACGGAGTCAAGGTACAGTACATCGGAGAATCCCCTGCTTTTTGCTGTCATAAGCGGTTTCATGACGGGGGCATAGTTGGTAATGCTCTTGACACCAGCGGCTCCGCCGCGGGACGCGCGGTGGAAGTCTTCCTCTACATATAAGTTCAAAGGGGCAGTTCCCTCCTTGAAATAGTTCCCAACTGGGGATGCGTAAACCAGAAATGTATAAAGTGGAGCCGGAGCCAACCCCAAAACAGGTCCACTTCCTATTACCATAGGCCTAATATACAGAGACCCTTTTCCGTGAGGCGGTATCTGCAATTTTATTCAGTTATTTATTTACTACTCTTAATAATTACTAGTGGTTTTGAGTTAGTCAAGAATTACCCAACGGCGGTTGGCCAGCAGGGTTTGCCGGAGAGCGTCAAGGAAGACGGGGGTTGAAGGGGAAGGCATGCACATTCTGGCGGCACTAATCTGCATTCTCTCTGCATTTAGATCTGGTCTGAACAAGAACATCCCATCCTTATCGCCGTTCTCTCGTCTGAACGCCTTTGTCCCCTCGTACACCCCCTGCCCGTAGTTCAGCACGCCCGCCGCAGGGCTCAGTTCAAGGTTCCCGAAGCGCCGGAGTTTGCCTTGCCGGAAACAACCGTCGTCTCCGGTGCAGCTGGAAACGTACATGTAGTCAGTTGGAATGATCCCAAATCCGAGGTTGTCCCAATCGATGTGGCCACCTACGACACACTGCCCCTCTTCCTTGTTGCATGCCGACAACGCGGTGATGAATCTCTGCTGTCTCATTCCAAACTGCAGGCAAGCAAGAAAGCAAGGAATCACAAATAGTGCATTAACTATATATGTTCCACACTACCAGTAGCTAGCTAGGTACTGAGTGACTGACTCACCTTGGATCCATAACGGCAAAAAGCCGCCGCAAGTCCTAACATATTTGGCGCAGCGCCGCAGGGATACAGAGATACAGAGAAGAAGATGAAAAGAAATGAATGAAAATGATGATATAATGCAGTTTGTTGAAAGGCAACGAGAACATAGATATGGGAGGGATATATATATATAAATATTGCACGCAAGTTTGTTAGTCATTTTATGATTTTTCTATATATAGATATCAGCTTATCATTTGTTGGATCGGTGGGGTCCAAGTGACACCGGAGTACGGTGACATTCTATTGCCACTGTCATTTTAGGATACTTCCATTGTTCCGTTTGTAAAATTGACGGTTCTTACCCTTGAACCTCACCCTACTATGCCGTAAGCCCCCCACAAAATGTGTAGCTATTATATAATGCATAATAGCTACACATTTTGTGGGGGCTTACGGTGGAGTTCGGGTGGGGGTGCAAGACGGGGGTAGGATAGAGGGGTTTAGGGGAGTGGGTTATGGGGGTAGACACCGTAAATTTCACAAAAAGAGCACCGTAAGTGTTCTAAAATAATAATGGCACCACAAATGTTACTAAAAATGGGTGTCACCAGAACCAAACCCTTCTTTGGATTTATTTTTTTTTGTGCGTGGAAAGTATGGGGCTAAGGATAGGATTGTACAGGTCAGATTGAGTACCTCTATATGCATGATAAGGAGTACATAATTATTATGGCAGATAAATTGACAAATAACTGAATCTGAACATATATGGAGTATTGTCACGTTCACTCCATTTCCATTCGTCCCTCCCTTCCAAACTCTCAATTCTCTTTTGACTTTTATGAAAGGTTTGAAAATTTGGATTTGGATTTTAAATTCACTTTTTTTTTTTCAAATTTCATACGGAGTATTAGAAAAACTTATAGATTTGAATTGAGATTATAGATTTGACTTAAAGGTCACGAATTCGAAACTAACCACCATCTTTTTTTAATTAAGTTTTCACGTGCATGACTCGAAAAAAACTATGCCTGCACGTGAGAGATGTGTTAGAGTATTAAAAACCTTTCTTGGACCATAATCACAAACTTGAATTTTTGATTGAGATTGTTTTTTGACATAAACTAACGTATCAATAAGGAGGAACGACTTTGAACATCGAAAAAAGAAACCTAAATAGAGTTAATTTCTAAAGAAAAATGCTAGGGGTACACTTTTGGTACACCAAAGGTGTACCCCATTTATCCCCCACCCCATCCACAACCACAAAAAAAAAAGGAAAGAGATTAAAAAAATTAAATAAATAAAAATAAAATAAAATTGAGTGGTGGAGAGAGGGGTGGGGGACAAATGGGGTACACCTTTAGTGTACCCCTAGCATTGTTCATTTCTAAATTATTCATATTAATGATGTGGGAGTGTGCAATTGTACATCTATACTTTTAGGTTATAGAGAAAGTCTAGTTCTAATAAAATAATATTTTTTAATTTTTATCTCACAGTTCAAAGAAAAATATCAAAATAACATTTCTTATAAGTTTGTTCTATACTCCGTAAAACAAAGACGAGTCGACAATCGACATATGGAATGATGCCTTCCTTGTCACATTTAATTCCCTAGGGTCTTCCTCCTTCTGGCTCATTGGATAGAGAAAAATAACAAAAAAAAAAGTGTGAAACTTGGAGGATCGCCGCAATAAATTTTTTCATATTTTTTATACTCAAAATAAAAGTGACAATGTCAATAATGTCAATCTATAATGCCAAAAAACATTGTGAAATATCAATATGCAATGTCACGATGTCACATTGCAAACTCTTATTTTGAAGGATAAAAACATTAAACTCCTATTTTGGAAATAAAAGTTATGTTTTACTCTCATTTGATCAAAATGGTTCTGATCTGGTTGGAATAAGTACTGATATGATCTAGTCTAATTTGGTCTATTCTGATCTGATTTGATCTGAATAAAGTTATATATAAAGCTATTTCTGATCTGATTCTAATAAAAATAAGTAATAAGTAAGAAGGTAAGTTGAAGAGAACATGGTCTAACATTGTACTCTTTCTGTTCAAAATTTTCTTTTCAATATAATTGTTTTGTTTAAAATTTTTAAACCATGGTCACAAATTACAAAAAAAAATATATTAAATTATGATATAAATGTTATATCAATAGATTCATCACCACCCAATTTTACACTTTTTAGAAGTTTTAGGGTTAAATTCTCTACATTTTGGATGACTCATTACATCTAATATATCAAGAATTGAACCTTTTGAAGGCTTCATTACAAAAAAAAAACGCGAAATAGGCACGGACCGTAGTTTTAAGAAAATTTTGTCTCATATAAACCTAAAAGATAGTACGTTTCCTTGAACAAGAGAGTAAGTATGTTTTATTGTTGATCTGCCATATATGGCCGCATTAGCAAGAAGTATTGGAAAATGACGGATTACATGATCGAATGACTCTACGAATGTGGTCATTAGCTATACAAATGACTCTACGAATATGCTCATTAACAACAAGTATTGGATAATGACTGATTATTTCAATGACTATTCAAATCTTTTTTTAATGATATACTCCGTATTATTCTACTTAGCTTGAATTGTGTTATTGGTCATTTTTCTCAAAGGCAAGACATTTTTGAATTTTCCATTGCCAAACGTTAGATTACATAGGACTGATCCTATTTAGGGAAAAACGATAAATTTAAGTCATATTTAGGTAACTTTCCCTGGTTTTAACTAACCCTGACTATTTCCTCTGTTCACAAATAAACTTCTCGTTCACTATTCACAGGGTCAAACTTTATTCACTTTGTTGACCCATTTTCGTCACTCATTTGATAAAATAGTATAGTCATGTCACATCTAGTTTTGTAGATCTTTTGATATAATTTTTTAATATGTAATTTTTATTTTTAAATTTTACATCATATTTCATATAAAATGATTTGAAAATAACTTCAGTCAAACATCGTAACGCGCAACGAAAAGTTTATTTGTGGACGGAGGGAATATATGTTAAGGCTTGGATCTTTGCAGAGATAGGAGACGCTGCCAATTTTGAAGCTCCAAATCTTATGGCACGGGTTTTGAACCCGTGCCAAAGTTAGACATTTTTGGAAACTCAACACCCAAATACACTCCTATTAAATACTTTAAAAATCAAAATCTCTCAGATATTTAAGAATGGAGTATTTTTTATATGGAATTCTCAAATTTAATTTAGTGCCATCTTAACTTTAGTCCACCAGGTTGAAAAGGTCACCTTAACCCTGCACATGTGTATGAAGGATGAAGAGAAGGGGAGAGTATATCAGATCCATTGATGAACAGTTGCCAAACCAGTAGTGTATATGTATGTATGCATTACATACGGAGTAACAATTTGCTGCGTTAATAATTTTAAACAAAAATACAACTAACTCCTATTACATGCATTTGTGTATCTATAATCTCTTGGTTTATGTCAGATACCCAATGAATTTAATTTGTTTGGGTATATATATCAACCAAGATCGATCAGGTATGTTTTGATCAGATCCTTACAACCCAGCCATTCTTGTCTGCAATTGCACCTCTTTGGATATCAAACAGTGTTGAGCCTAGTTTCTTCCCCACAGTCTCCTCTCCTAAGTTGTACTCCATCCTGTTTTATATGCATATAAATATCGAAACCCAAATATGATGTAAAAATAAATTCCTTTTTCTTGGTTTTGTTTTGAAATGAATGAATGAGTGTATGTATACCTTTCCCCCTTGTAAGTAATGCTTCCGACAGGAGCAACACCCACTGCAGTCCCAGTGCAGAACACTTCATCCGCGGCGCTCAACTCCTCAACACCCACCTCCCGTTCTTCAACCTCGTGCCCTAAATCCCTTGCGATTTCTATAATACTTCTCCTAGTGATCCCCGGGAGGATTGTCCCATTCGTGGCCGGAGTCGAAACAACACTCCCCTATAATTACAAGATTTTAATAATGTTTCAAATGGTTTTAATTTATACTCCGTATGTATGTTAGATATCTCTAATCTAATACTGTAAATTGAGTTGGTAGGTACGTACCTTGACAATGAAGATGTTGCACGAAGAAACCTCCTCAACATAACGCTTATGGACGGAGTCAAGGTACAGTACATCGGAGAATCCCCTGCTTTTTGCGGTCATAAGCGGTTTCATGACGGGGGCATAGTTGGTAATGCTCTTGACACCGGCGGCTCCGCCGCGGGACGCGCGGTGGAAGTCTTCCTCTACATATAAGTTCAAAGGGGCAGTTCCCTCCTTGAAATAGTTCCCAACCGGGGATGCATAAACCAGAAATGTGCAAAGCGGAGCCGGAGCCAACCCCAAAACTGGCCCACTTCCTATTAATAATGGCCTTATGTACAGAGATCCTTTCCCGTGGGGAGGAATCTGCATTTTTATTCAGGCCATATACGAGTAGTAAAAATTAATAACTAGTGTAACTAGATCGACAATAAAAGGTCAAGGGAAAAGAAGAAGAATTACCCAACGGCGGTTGGCGAGCAGGGTTTGCCGGAGAGCGTCGAGGAAGAGGGGGGTTGAAGGGGAAGGCATGCACATTCTGGCGGCACTAATCTGCATTCTCTCTGCATTTAGATCTGGTCTGAACAGGAACATCCCATCCTTATCGTTCTCTCTTCTGAACGCCTTTGTCCCCTCGTACACTCCCTGCCCGTAGTTCAGCACGCCCGCGGCAGGGCTGAGTTCAAGGTTCCCGAAGCGCCGGAGTTTGCCTTGCCGGAAACAACCGTCGTCTCCGGTGCAGTTGGAAACGTACATGTAATCTGTTGGAGTGATACCGAATCCGAGGTTGTCCCAATCGATGTGGCCGCCTACGACACACTGCCCCTCTTCCCTGTTACATGCCGACAACGCGGTGCTGAATCTCTGCTGTCTCATTCCAAACTGCAAGCAAGCAAGCTATCACAAGTTAATTAATTAATTTTTATAACATGAAGCCTTCTTCATTTTTAATGATATAACATCTAGCTAACTCTATTATGTATGTATATATAAATGTTTCCTCGCCATGATTATGATCCGATCCCCTAGCTATCTAAGCTAGGTACTGACCTCGGATCGAGAACGACAAAGACCTGCAAGTCTCAACATATTATATCTGGCGGCGCAGAAGAGAAGAAGAAAGATGAAGAATTCAACAATACTTTATATATTGAATATGATGTTGCAGACTTGCAATAGAAAGGCAAGTAAGAGATCGAGGATGGGAGGGATATATATATAAGAGGATTTTTAAGTAAATAACACTAAAACATAATGACTTTCTCTAAATATCACTACATGTGTTTTTTTCTCAATGTAGCACTTTTAGTCATTATTCATTAGTCACTATTTAAGTATATGTGCGTGTTTGTTAAAAGCCGGTGTATACTTAGGATAAAATTGGAGTGCCTGTATCAAATCCCCATATTTTTTTGAGATGGGTTCATTTCAATAAACTGCGTCATCATTCTAGAAAATGCAAGTTCACCCATTGAAATATTACTAATTAATCCCTTAATTACCGTGGCTAAACAGCTAACGTTATTGACCAAACGCCTAAAACTTAACCATGAAATTCGTAATTGCAATCGTCACTAAAATTAAAAAGTAGAACTTGAAAGAGCTGATTTCAAAATTCTGTATTATTGTTTGAAATATAAATTTAATATAATTAGATTTATATCAAATTATATATTTGATATATCAATTTTCTGCGATATATATTTCAATGGGTTCACCCATTGAATATCAGCATTGAGTAGATATAATCATTTACTCCCGTCTTAAAATTAACTTTCCATTTAACTTTTCACGGTCTCCAATGTGACATTTTGATCATCGATATCTCAATTTTTATATAAATATATTTTATAAAAATTATATATTTCAAAACTATGTTTCAAAATGAATCTATTGCCAATAAATTTATATGAAAATTCAATGTATTTTTTCGTAATATACGATCAAATTTTCAAAAGTTTGACTACAAAAGTCAAACTGGGCAATTAATTTTAGAACGGGTGAGTAATTATTGTTGCGAAATAGCGTCATTTTGCACTCGTCACTAAAATTTAAAAGTAAAACCTCAAAAGGTGAGTTAAAAATTATTCTCTCAAATTTACTTTCTTCCTTGAAGTATGGCTTTGCCAATGGCGGGCTTTTACCGTTGGTTCTCGGCGCTCCTTTAACATACAAATCAGATTCATTTTTCCATTACTCCGTACAAAAGTTACCAAAAAATGTTGAAATTTGTGTCACTACTTTTTACTCGTTCCCTCCCAAAAAAATTAACCCTTCACAATATAAAAATCACTGGAACTCTTGTTTATTGTATTCTTTTCACTCTTTAAAGATTACTATAGTTTAACTTTTTTGATTAAATTGTGGCATTCTTTGACCACAAATTAAATTTAATTTAAAATAATTAAATATTATAAAAATTTGATATTTGAAAACTATATTCTACAATAAAACTAATTATATAACTAAATATACTTTTTTAGTGCTAAAAAGTACTTTCTCCGTTCCTAAATAGATTACAATTTTTTCTCTCTCTCCTCTCGATAACTTTTGTTTGTTTACGCGATTTCATTAAGTTTTTGATTTAATAATATATTCGTGTCATCTCTTGTTTTGTAGAACTCTTGACGTAATTTTTTAATATGTAATTTTTATATCTTATCGATATACCAATTTGTAAATAAAATGATTTCAAAAAGTATGAAATTTCACTTCGTAACTCGCAATTTGTAATCGATTTAGGGACGGAGGAAGTATATATTTTTTCATAACTACGGTCAAAGGGTGCCACAATTTGACCAAAAAAGTCAAACTGTGGTAATCTTTTGGGAGCGAAAGGGTTTTATTGATTACGGAGTATTTGATATAATAAAATACTCCCTCCGTTTCTTAAAACCCTTCCTCTTTCATTTTTTTGTTTTTCTTAAAACACTTCCCTTTTCTATTAAAAAACCACTTTTATCCCTACTTTTTCATACCCTACCTATCACATCATACTTTTTCACTAACAACTAAACTATCACATCTTATTTTTACCCATCACATCAAGGGCAAAATTGGAAAGTCAACTACAATTTAACACTTTCTTATTTTCCCCCAAAGTCAAAAGAGGAACTCTTTTGAGAAACGGAGGTAGTATTTTATTTTATTTTATCCAATCAGATACGGATTTAAATTTAAGATTTTTTTGGATATGCAGATATCCGATTATCTGAATTACTTTATTTTAAAATATTTTACTTTTACCTACTAACCCTAATCCTCGTCCAATCGGCCGTTTCAGACTTCATTTTTTACGTTTCAGACTTCATTTGGACATAGAAACATAGACGGCAATTTTTGATATGCCATTATTTATAACTAGTCCATCCAACTTTAAATTTGTCATTAGCTTAAACAATTTTTTTATTATTTAATCCAATGATCATTACTTTTGTATACAATTTTTCATTAAATGATCATTTTCTTAAAAAGATTGTATAAACTTTATAAAAATTTTAAAAAAATAATAATTTATAGGATTTGTATAAATTAGAAATTATTGGTCATTTTTTTTATTGTTCTTCAAAAACTAAGATTTATAGAAATTTTATTAATGTTTATCGATAATTAAATAAAAGCCGTCAAAAATTAAGATTAAACTAAGATTTATAAAAATAATGTTTATCAATAATTTTATCAAAAAATTATTACGACAAACATAGATATGATAGTTAAAAAATAATTTTATCACATATATTATATCATTATTAGAAAAAAAGTTGAGTAATATTATAATCGACCAAATGTCAAAAATTTAGAATGTATGAAGCATGAGGTAAAATATTTATTAAGCATTAAATTAATCAAACGAAATTATTTTTTCATGGATAATTTTATAAAATCAAAACTTTAGGACAATTGTTAGCTTTTTCGAGTAAATAAATTTAATTTGGTGGATTATTTCGTGGCAGCGCAGCCCATCCCAGCCCAATTTGTTTATAATTGTAATCCCACTCTTGAACGATGAAAGCACCGTTGGGGATGTAGCTCAGATGGTAGAGCGCTCGCTTAGCATGCGAGAGGTACGGGGATCGATACCCCGCATCTCCATTTTCATACAATTTTGCTCAATAAATGTTCAATGTCACTGTTTTTACCAGTAATTGTTACATCACAAATGCTAATAAAAATGTTATCAAACTTTTTGGAAAAATATACACGATTTCTCGGGTTCAATTAGGTCTCATTTATTGAGTTACTCAAAAAAGTTCAAATGACATTAAATTTAATTTTATTATTTTAAATGAATAATATAAAATTCAATGATTACTTGAAGCATTAGCATGCAAAAACCAATCTGGGTGTAATAAATTAATAATATATAATGGCCAAATACAGGAGTATTGACGTGGTTTTTTACTCTTTTTTGG